TTTCAGCTTCCCCCCCGTCCACTACCACTGCTACAATAACCTCCTCCGGGCCTGAGTCTGCCGAGCCTGTGTCTGTTGAGCCTGGAGACGATTCACCTTCGGCAGCCTCAGGCACGGTGGCCTCAGGCTCGAGACTTGCTGGTGCAGTGGTTGGTTCGGAAAAAGACGAATCTGTGGATGAGGCTTCTGGTGAAACTGATGCTTGTGCTGCTGCAGCTGGTGCATCTGACGGTGACGGTGATAGTGATGGTGATGGTGATGGTGGTGACGATGGTGTATGGTGGTGGGACTTTGCCGCTGCGGAGGAACGGCGGTCTGATGGAGGGAGAAAGACGGAGAAAGAGAGCGGCACAGGGAGTAAGAAAGACTGACCGACTGACTGACTGACTGACCGACTCACTGACTGACGGACTGAAGACTGACTGACGGACAGACGGACTGACAGATTGTTGGCTAACAAAATCCATCGACGGCACAGTGGCACATTGTTGACAGACGAGAAGAGCCGTCGTACCTGAGAGAATGCGCTCGCCAACGAGCCCAGCCAACGCGAGACCGGCTGTCAGCAGCACGAAATCTCGGCCGTCCGTCGTTCCGAACCTCTTCTGAAGAGACTCGACAAACGAGGGGATCTCCGCTGCCTTAGCTGCCACCTTGGACGCTCCTGACGCAACACCTGACGAAGCACCTGAGGAAACACCTGAAGCTCCTGCTGCTGCAGAGGACGAGGTAGTCGTCGACGCGAATCTGGCATTCTGGCAGCTGATTGGCGCATCGCGAAAGGGACGCGAAAGAGAATCGACGGTTCGAGTGGCCGCAGCGTCGAGTCTGGACCGGATCTCGCTTCTTCTCCGGATGTGCCGCGCAGAGGCGGACGACAGGAAACGGAACATGGGTGGAGAGCGTGTAAGGCGGAGAGTGTGCAGGGCGGAGAGGATGTGGAGTGGAGAGTGTGTCGAGAGGAGGGTCCGAGAGTTCCAAATATGCGAACAGAGCAGGTAACCCTTTGCGATCTGTTACTTCGCAGGGGAAAAAGGGTATAACGCCCTGGATTCGCAGAGGGAAGAAGATGGATCAGGAAGGGACGATCGAGGGTGGAGCTGCAGCTGAAGCAAGATCTGTAACGATGAAGGCCAGCTGGTGTCTCGTGCTGAGCTTGCCTGAGACAGGTGGGATTGCACATGGGGGGGGATAAGGGAGCAGAAAACGTTGGTGAAATGACCGCACTTACAACGAAGCTGCGAGTTTAAGCAAGCTGGATAGCGAATGAAGCTGCAGATTGGAAGACTGTGTTCTTGTAACGGTTCACGAATCAGCCTTCAGACGTCTCAAAGCTGGATAGCGAATGAAGCTGCAGGTTGGAAGACTGTGTTCTTGTAACGGTTCACGAATCAGCCAAGCGATACGATCCCACAAGCATCAGGGACACCCCTGGATCGTTAGCTAAATCGATCGGATACCCGTCGACAGGAGTAGCACGGATAAGGTTGAAGCCACCTTACTTCACGAATAACCTAGTTAGATTGCGATTACGGGACCCCAATATATCCAGTATTGAGACGACTCAGATAAACACGGATCCGAAAATGCAATAAGCTACTGTGTGGGTTGGATCGCATCGTCCACGTCTCGGATCCTGAAATGGCCTCTAAGTCGACTTGAAGGAGGTGGAACAAGATCGCAGGGAGATAGCCAGAGAGGTGACGAGGGGTTTGTATGGCTGAAAGGCAGGATCGGATACAAAGAATGGCTTCAGAAGCAGACGGAAAAAAAACGATCTGTCAAAAGCACTGGATACGTTCTTTCTCACCTTAAAAAACGCGAAAGGCACGCCTATACGGATATCACTCGGATCTGCTCTCCACGAGAAAGCGGCTCGAACAAACAGCCTTCTAAAAAGCTAGTCGCACGAGCTTCAGAAGCAACACCCGCAAAACTCACACCCTAAGCCCTCTGTCAATAACCTACTGGAATAGCTACGCGCACTTCAAAGCTTGAAAAGCTACTTCACTTCTAGCTTATTGGTGGTGGGGTGGTCTAAAATCCATGGCTTTGACCAACCATTCCCTGGCATGAAGGATGGTTGTTCTGGCAAGCATGAAAAAACATTTCCTAGTTACCTGGGTTTCCCAAAACGCTTTCAGCAATTATGGGCATACGAGACAGCCACGAATGTAGCATTTATCCCAGAAGAGGAGGGTGGAGTCCTAATGCAATCAGATGAGTTGGAAAACCCCAACTTTGAAGGAACGGAATAATTTCTGAAAAACTCTGTGAAGGACGCGGCCGAAAAACATCACGAACTTCTGGTGTTCCAAAGATCTCGGGAGACTGGCGATTCGTGGACTGTCGTTTCCAAGGGTGTACATGCATAAAGAATATCAATACAAACAGTTTAAAAACGAATTGTTTCCTCGTCTTTGAGAGAGAACCCCATTTCTTATCACACCAAGATCTCCATTGAACAGCCCGCTAAATTAGCTAGGCTACTCGAAACTATTAACGTGTGGCCCTTTATTCTGCGAGAGACTTGCTATAGTCTCTGTGCACCACTATACATACGCCAGAACCATGCAGCTGGATCCCATGTGGTACACCCAGTCTCCATTATTACAGCAGACATCCAAGCAGGCGGGCTGCTTACTCTCATAATACATCCCCTTTTGTAGCCTTCTCCTTAACCAGCAGGAGCACCGCCGCACACATTCTTCCCCCCCGCTGCCTTTTGAGCGATTGGCTTCAGCCGAACCATGATATCGTCAAACTTGGGGCGGTCCTTGGGGTCACTGGGAAACAAAAAGAGGGTGGAGAGGGTAAAGGGAGTGGCATGGGGTTGAGTCAGCTGGAAAGTCTTCCTTTTGAGCAACTGGCTTCAGCCGCACCATGATATCGTCAAACTTGGGGCGGTCCTTGGGGTCACTGGGAAGCAGAAAGAGGGTGGAGAGGGGCATGAATGTTCCACTGAGCAATTCAGCTGCACTATGACATGCCATCGTCAAACTTAGGGCAGTCCCTGCGGTCATTAGAGAGCAAGGACACTTCAGGTGATGTCCCACCAGATGGATGTGGAACGCATGTGCCACCAGTTGGATGTGGAACGCATGTGCCACCAGTTGGATGTAGAAAGCATCGAAACTAGACAGTGAAGTGAAGCTTACTTGTGCCAGCAGTCGAAGATGAGTGTGGAGAGAGCCGGGTCGAGGTCAGGAGGAACGGTGGGACGCTGGATTATGAGTCGCCTCAAATATCATCACCTCACACAGGAAGAAACTTACTTGTCCCAGCAGCTGAGCTTCGGAACGTCTCGGAGCAGAGTACGCGAGGAGCACAAAGGGGGGGAGCTTACTTGTGCCAGCAGTCAAGGATGAGTGTGGAGAGAGCAGGGTCGAGGTCAGGAGGGACGGTGAGACGCTGGTTCTGGAATCCCACTGCCCCCACCACCTGAGGTGGGGGAGATGGGGGAAGACGGGGAAGATGGGGGACCGAGGAGAGTTGGCGCAGAACAAAAGACACTAGTCAGCCTAGAGAGTATGGGTTGGAGGTCAGGAGGGACGGTGAGACGCTGGTTCTGGCATCCCACTGCCCCCACCACCTGAGGTGGGGGAGATGGGGGAAATGGAGGGAGAAGGGTGAGAGGGGGGAGTGGAGAAAGTTGGAGAAGAATGGAGACCTGCATGCGGGCATGGGGTTCACACCACAGACATTACTGCATAGGGTTTAAAGTATGAACATATAGGCATGGGGTTCACATCACAGACATTACTGCATAGGGTTTAAAGTATGAACATATAGGCATGGGGTTCACATCACAGACATTACTGCATAGGGTTTAAAGTATGAACATATAGGCATGGGGTTCACATCACAGACATTACTGCATAGGGTTTAAAGTATGAACATATAGGCATGGGGTTCACATCACACATTTGAACTAACAGGCATGGGGTTCATGCCATCCATACCAGCATGGGTTTCATGCCATCCATACCTGCATGGGGTTCATGCCATCCCATGGCTGCAACAGCGTCACCAGCTCCCACAGAATCACCCCGAAGCTGTACACGTCCGACTTCTCGTTACTTGGCTCGTTTCGCAGCACTTCAGGCGCCATCCACTCGGGCTGAGAAGGAGAGGCATGCGGGGAAGACGCATTGACAGAGAGTATAGATCCAAAGCTGAACAGGCTGTAATGAGGGGGGCCAACAGAGAGGCGCCTCCAGACGCCTGAGCACCACGTGTCAGTAACGGACAGGTGGGCTGCGGAGGCCTTGCTTCCTTCCATCAGCCCACCTGTCCGGGGCCAACAGAAAGGCGCCTCCAGACGCCCGAGCACCAGGACCTCAGGCGCCATTCACTCGGGCTGAGGGGGAGGTAGGGGGGGAAGGGGGTACATCGTGGCGCAGGCAGCAACGAGAGGAGCGACAGGGAGGCCTCCGGACCAGAAGCCTGAACACCGCTGCATGATGCACCATGCGGGCATGAGCCTAAATCACCACTGCATGACGTGCCGGGTCTACATGCCTGTATACACCTCCCCATCCATACCCACATTCATACCATGCATACATGCATATCTGCCTTACCGTGCCTGCACCCGACTTGGAGGAGAGGAAGGTACCGTTCTTACAGCGAATCATACCCAAATGACTTATTGTTCCGCATAAGCTTCACAGCTCACGCATGTGCACGCCTCACTGTGCATGCACCAGCACCTGCACCAACTCACCACACGCTATGCTCGCCTCGCATCGGATACCATGCCTGCGGCCGATGTGGAGGAGAGGGATAGAAGTCTTACAGTCCCCACCATGTGAGCATTGAGGTGATTATTTAGGCGCCTAAAAAATCACCTGCGGCCGATGTGGAGGAGTAACTTTTGAGAATTCTCAGAAGGATGGATATAAGTCTTACAGTCGCCACCATGTGCATGCCTCACGGTGCCGTGCCTGTATGTACCTGCACAACACACACACACTATCCTCGCCTCGCGTCACACATACCGTTCCGGCGCCTGATTTAGAGGAGAGAAAAGTGCTGTTCTTGTTGCGAGATAGACCGAAGTCGCAGACCTGCCAGGGAGAAAAACAACCACACGTCCACACAAGATGCCTCCACTTGAGAATCGCTTCGCAGCGGGTGAGGCACGAAAAGAGATTCGAAAGCCGAGAAGCTGGGATAACACTTTCATTCTCCATTTCTTTGTTAGAACACTCCTAATATGCATGGTCAGTAGCATGCTCAAAAGCAGGTAACATGCTTGCCATGTACCTTGACCGTGTTAATTTTTTAGGCGCCTCAAAAGCAGGTAACATGCTTGCCATGTACCTTGACTGTGTTAATTTTTTAGGCGCCTCAAAAGCAGGTGACATGCTTGCCATGTACCTTGACTGTGTTAATTTTTTAGGCGCCTCAAAAGCAGGTAACATGCTTGCCATGTACCTTGACTGTGAAATTCTTGAGGCGCCTCAAAAGCAGGTAACATGCTTGCAATGTACCTTGACTGTGAAATTCTTGAGGCGCCTCAAAAGCAGGTAACATGCTTGCCATGTACCTTGACTGTGAAATTCTTGAGGCGCCTCAAAAGCAGGTAACCCTAAACCCTAACATGCTTGCCATGTACCTTGACTGTGAAATTCTTATCCACTAGCAGGTTGGGGGTTTTGAGATCACGATGCACGATCATGGGTGTGCAATGATGCAGGTAGTTGATGCCTCTCGCCTGGTGGGGTGATGGGTGGGAGGGAGAATGGGGGGGGGGGGGGGGGGAGTGAGTTTGGAAAAGGGGCAAGAGACGGGTTTGCGCCCGGCCAGGGGGGGGGGGGGGGGGAGGGGCTTCTGAGCCAACCCAACAGGCATGAACGATGATGGTTGGTTTGACTCAGAATCCGATCTAGATGGACGGTCATGGTGCACGGTCATCGTGCATGGACGATGCACGGTCATGGTTGTTGTGCAGTGGTGCATCTCCCCACCCTTCCCCACCCATTCCTTGATTAGTCTGTACCAGAGTCTACTTGACGTTTAATTAACCCATCGCAACCGCCCTGCACCCCCTCCCCCCTCTCATCTCCCATGCCCCCCCTACTCCCCCTCTCCCCCCGCCACCCACAATATCCATGGCCATGCGAATGCGCTGGTCCTCCTTGAACGTCGCCTTTGCCCCCGTTCCCCCTGCCCAATGCCCCCACAGACCAACCCCACTCGCCAGCGAACCCCCCACACCCTCTCCCTCCCTTCTCCCCAACCCCACACACCCTCTCCCTCCCTTCTCCCCAATCCCCCACACCCTCTCCCTCCCTTCTCCCCAACCCCCCACACCCTCTCCCTCCCTTCTCCCCAACCCCCCCCACACCCTCTCCCTCCATTCTCCCTAACCCCCCCCCACACCCTCTCCCTCCATTCTCCCCAAAACCCCCCACACCCTCTCCCTCCCTTCTCTCCAACCCCCCCGCCACCCACAATATCCACGGCCATGCGAATGCGGCGATCCTCCTTGAGCGTCTCCTTTGCCCCCATCCCCCCCTTTGCCCAATGCACCCACAGACCAGCCAGCCCCAATCCACCCTTCCCCACATCCCCCCCCCTCTCCCCCCCGCCACCCACAATATCCATGGCCATGCGAATGCGGCGATCCTCTTTGAGCGTCTCCTTTGCCCCCGGCCGATGCAGCAGACGGAAGAGACTTCCCCTGGGGGGGAGAGAGGGAAGGAAGGGGAAGGAAAGAGATGGAAAGGGGGGACAGGGTATGTGAGCGTATCCTTTTGACTTTTGAGTCGACTCAAAAGTCACCTCGAAAGGGGGGACAGGGTATGTGAGCGTATCCTTTTGACTTTTGAGTCGACTCAAAAGTCACCTCGAAAGGGGGTTCAGGGTATGTGAGCGTATCCTTTTGACTTTTGAGTCGACTCAAAAGTCACCTCGAAAGGGGGGACAGGGTATGTGCCCGTATCCTTTTGACTTTTGAGTCGACTCAAAAGTCACCTCGAAAGGGGGGACAGGGTATGTGAGCGTATCCTTTTGACTTTTGAGTCGACTCAAAAGTCACCTCGAAAGGGGGGACAGGGTATGTGAGCGTATCCTTTTCCCTTGGCCGATGCAACACGCGGAAGCAACTTTCCTTGCGGAGAAGAGAGAGGCGGAAGGAGAGTGGAGGGAAGGGATGAGGGAGAAGAGGGGGGAGCGGGAGGAAAGGGAGGAAAGGGAGGAGACTTCAATTAGGAAAAGGGAAGAAAAGGTGTATTTGAGTCTCCTATGCCCCCGGCCAGTGCAGCAGGCAGACGAAAGTCTCGTGAGGGGGAGAGCAAGGGGCGGAAGTGGGAACAGGACAAAAAGAGAGAGGAGGAACTCTGTGATGGAGGAGAAAGAGAGAGGAGGAACTCTGTGATGGAGGAGAAAGAGAGAGTTTACTCAAAATGCATCTGTGCATGCGAAGGAGTCAGAGACGTTGGAGCAAGATAGGGATGGAGGAGAGGCGAGGAGAGGCGAGGAGAGGCGAGGACAAGCAAGGAGAAGCAAAGAGAAGCACACTAAAAAGAAGGGGAGGGAGAGGGGAGTGGGGGGAGGGACAAGGCATCAAACTTGATGCAAGAAGGAAAGTGAGGGAAGCAAAGGGCGGGAAAGGGGTGGGGGGTGGTGGGGGGGGGTGGGGGGGGTTGGAGGGGGAAAGGGGGGGTTGGGTTGAAGGGGTGCCTACCTGCTAAGAAACTCTGTGAGGATGGAGAGGTGGGGCGGCTTGGTGACTGCTCCCATGAAGAGCACTATGTTGGGATGGCGCAGACGACGCATGATCACCACCTGATGGGGAGAGGGGGGAGAAGGAGAGGGGGTGCGAAAAAGAGGCGCAAGAGGAGGAGGCAGAGTTGGCAAGGCTTGGTGATCGCTCCCATGAAGAGCACTATGTTGGGGTGGCGCAGGCGACGCATGATCACCACCTGAGAGGGGAGGGGGGAGAGAGGGGTGTGTGGGAAAGGCCGAACGGCATATATGGAATGTAGGAAAAGCGGGGCAGCTTGGTGACCACTCCCATGAAGAGCACTATGTTGGGGTGGCGCAGGCGACGCATGATCACCACCTGAGAGAGCGAAGGAGGGAGGGAGGGGGAGAGATAAAGGGGCACAGCAGGAGGAGGTGAAGTTGAGGCGGCTTGGTGACCGCTCCCATGAAGAGCACTATGTTGGGATGACGCAGACGCCGCATGATGACCACCTGATGGGGAGAGGGAGAGAAGGAAAAGGGGAACGGAGGATGAGGTGAAGGAAAAGGGGAACGGAGGATCATAGAGGAGAAGTTGGAACTGCTTTTGAGGTGCCTCAAAGGATGAGGTGAAGGAATTGGATTATAGAGGAGAAGTTGGAACTGCCTAGGCTTGGGAGAGGAGGAGTTATCCAAGAGGGTTATGCTTGATGACTGCCTTACACGCAGCAGGCCTCTTATCTAAGAATCCTCAATGTACCCAGATATGTTGGAGTCACTTTTTGAGAATCCTCAAAAGTGACTCCAATATATCTATGAAGTCACAGGCGTACTTCCTTCTCGCAACTCTTGCTCATTCGTACCTCTCTCTTGAACTCTAGCAGCTGCTCCTCCTGCATGTCCTGATTGATCAGCACCTTCACAGCCCGCACGGCCCCCATAACAGTCACATCTAACGGCACGCATCTAAAGGCACACCTCTCATTGGACTCAGTGGCGTACCTCTCGCTTGAACTCCAGCAGCTGCTCCTCTTGCATGTCCTGGTTGATGAGCACCTTCACAGCCACATCCTGTGTGCGCGGAGGAAACGAGACATCAGCAATGTGAACAGGGACAGGGGGGGCATGTGATGGGGGCGCGCGCATGATCAGAGTCGGGTTTGGATGCGCATGTGGGCGGGCAGGGATGGGTTAAAACTTGCACGATGACGGCGGGTTTGAGCTGACAAGAAGCAGAAATAAGCTCGTCCCGGGTGGGTATCCATGCAGCGGAAAGGGGAATGACGAGGAGAAAGAGGAGAAGAGGCGATAAGGGGAAGAGGGGAGGAGGGCAGGAGGCGAGGAGGGGAGGAGGTGAGGTGAAGTGAGGAGGAGAGGGCGGGAGGAGACTCACACAGCCAGCCCACTCGGCGCGGTACACAGTGCCAAAGGAACCTGGTGAGACAACAAGACAAGGAGGAGCACGGGGGAATAGGGGGGGAGGCGGCCATGAGTGGGGTTGGCGAGAAGGGGGGGGTTTAGTAGTGCGTGGTTCGTCTGAAGGCCGGTGTAGGGGTGACTCGGAAAGGTGACTTTGAAGGGTGACTCGGGTGTTTAGAAACGCCTAAGGCCTGTAATGTGGCTTAACTGCACCAAATACCACTCTTACACCAAATCTCACTAACACCAGACCTCACCTGCGCCCACTGTTTCACCTGCCTGCACCCACCCTCTCTCACCTGCTCCCTTCCTCTCACCTGCGCCCACCCTCTCTCACCTGCTCCCTTCCTCTCACCTGCGCCCACCCTCTCTCACCTGCGCCCACCCTCTCTCACCTGCGCCCACCCTCTCACCTGCGCCCACCCTCTCTCACCTGCGCCCACCCTCTCTCACCTGCGCCCACCCTCTCTCACCTGCGCCCACCCTCTCACCTGCGCCCACCCTCTCTCACCTGCGCCCACCCTCTCTCACCTGCGCCCACCCTCTCTCACCTGCGCCCACCCTCTCTCACCTGCGCCCACCCTCTCTCACCTGCGCCCACCCTCTCACCTGCACCCACCCTCTCTCACCTGCGCCCACCCTCTCTCACCTGCGCCCACCCTCTCTCACCTGCGCCCACCCTCTCTCACCTGCGCCCACCCTCTCACCTGCACCCACCCTCTCACCTGCTCCCACCCTCTCCCCCATCTCGATGTCGTTCCAATCAATCTCCGCCTCTCCAATGTCCATGATGCGCCCATCCAAGAGCACATCCATGAATTCCACCCCCGCATCTGTCGCCTCGTCGTCTGCTGCTGGTGCTTCCACCTTGGCTTTCGGCTGGGGGAAGGGGGGCGAGGGGGTGGGGCATGAAGAGGGGGGGGGACGCAAGCAGGGTGCAAGGGCTCAGCCCGAGAGGCTTGGTGGGGTGGTGCGGCGACGAGGCTCCCATCCAAAGGCAACCCCCAATGTCCATGGTGCGCCCATCCAAGAGCACATCCATGAATTCCACCCCCGCATCTGTCGCCTCGTCGTCCGCTGCTGGTGCTTCCACCTTGGCTTTGGGCTGTTCGTGGGTGCAGGGGGAGGGTGGGGTGGGGTGGGGTGGGGTGGCGTGGGGTGGGGTGGGGTGGGGTGAGGTGGGGTGGCGCGGCGAGGGCGCCAACCCCAAGCCCCAATGTCCATGAGCGCATCCATCCATGAGCACATCCATCCATCCATCCATCCATCCATCCATCCATCCATCCATCCATCCATCCATCCATCCATCCATCCATCCATCCATCCATCCATCCATCCATCCATCCATCCATCCATCCATCCATCCATCCATCCATCCATCCATCCATCCATCCATCCATCCATCCATCCATCCATCCATCCATGAGCGCATCCATCCATCCATCCATCCATCCATCCATCCATCCATCCATCCATCCATCCATCCATCCATCCATCCATCCATCCATCCATCCATCCATCCATCCATCCATCCATCCATCCATCCATCCATCCATCCATGAGCGCATCCATCCATCCATCCATCCATCCATCCATCCATCCATCCATCCATCCATCCATGAGCGCATCCATCCATCCATCCATGATGCGCCCATGAACACCATGAACCCTCCCACCCATGCAGGCAGCACTCACTCCTTCTGCTTCCCTTCTCCCTCCTCTTCCCCTCCCTCTCCCCACCCTTCTTCGCCTTCCTTCTGCAGCTTGATCGGGGAAATTCTCTCCCTCTCCTCGTCCTCTCCACCTTTGAAAGTCAATGTCCATGAGCGCATCCATCCATGAGCACATCCATCCATCCATCCATCCATCCATCCATCCATCCATCCATCCATCCATCCATCCATCCATCCATCCATCCATCCATCCATCCATCCATCCATCCATCCATCCATCCATCCATCCATCCATCCATCCATCCATCCATCCATCCATCCATCCATCCATCCATCCATGAGCGCATCCATCCATCCATCCATCCATCCATCCATCCATCCATCCATCCATCCATCCATCCATCCATCCATCCATCCATCCATCCATCCATCCATCCATCCATCCATCCATCCATCCATCCATCCATCCATCCATCCATCCATCCATCCATCCATCCATCCATCCATCCATCCATCCATCCATCCATCCATCCATCCATGAGCGCATCCATCCATCCATCCATCCATCCATCCATCCATCCATCCATCCATCCATCCATCCATGAGCGCATCCATCCATCCATCCATGATGCGCCCATGAACACCATGAACCCTCCCACCCATGCAGGCAGCACTCACTCCTTCTGCTTCCCTTCTCCCTCCTCTTCCCCTCCCTCTCCCCACCCTTCTTCGCCTTCCTTCTGCAGCTTGATCGGGGAAATTCTCTCCCTCTCCTCGTCCTCTCCACCTTTGAAAGTCAAACCCATCAGCACGTCCATGAGCTCCACTCACCTTCTTCTTCCCCTCGTCCTCCTCCCCACCACCCTTCTTCCCGGCCTTCTTCTGCGGTTTCTTCTCCTCCTCCTCCTCCTCGCTGTCCTCCTCCTCCTCCACCCCTTTGAGCTCCTTGCGCCTTCTCTCTCCTTTAGGCGATGCAGCCACGTGCCGCGGGTCCTTGGGCCCTCCCGCGTAGATGCGCCTTGATCCCACCATCGCCTCCGCGTCCTGCTCCTGCTGCTGCCTGGTGGTTGGGAAGACCAAGGGAGGAGGGGGAAGCGCAAGGGATGAAAGGAACAGATGAACGGGGCAAAGAGAGGAGGCATGAGGGTCCTTGGGCCCTCCCGCATACATGCGCCTCGATCCCACCATGGCTACAGCATCCTGCTGCTGCTGCTGCCTGAAGGGTTGCAAGGAAGAGGGGGGGAAAGGAACGTGAGGGAAGAGGGGAGGGGAGCAAGGGAGCAACAGAAGAGCGACCTTGGGCCCTCCCGCATAGATGCGCCACCATGGCTCCAGCGTCCTGCTCCTGCTGCTGCCTGTGATTGGGCGGAATGAAACAAGTGGGAAATGGATCATGGATGGAAGGGGGAATGGCGAAGGAGGGGAAGATGGAATGGAGCAAGGAAGGAAATTGCCATTCCTTATCGGCAGCAGGGTCTGTGAGCGCGAAAAGGGACACCCCACCCTTTCTTATCAGGAGGAGCAGCAACGGGCTGGGCTCTGCCAGGTCGCACCTTCCACCCACTGTGGGACCATTGCCACCCGCATGGTCCATGAGCGCGAGAGGTTTCTGGACCTACCAACATCCCTCCCCGTCCCCTTGTCAGAAGGAGTAAAGGCCTCCCCCATATCTCACCTTCTGAAGTCCGGCACCCACTGCGGCCCCGTGCCGTCCGCAGGGTCCGTGAGCGCGAGAGATTTGACCTCCGGGCAGCGCAGGGGCGAGGCGATGTAGGTGGCGTTGGTGGCGGTGCTGGTGGCTGATTCCGCAGAGGGCTCGATGGTGAGCAGCGTACCTGGCCTCTGGAGTAGATCCACCACGTACTCCCTGTGTGTGGGGGGACAGAATGGGGGGAAGAGAGGATGGTGAGCAAGTGGCACTGGTAGCGGATTCAGCCGAGGGCTCAATGGTGCGCCGCGTGCCTGGGCGCTGAAGCAAGTCGACCACGCACTCCCTGTGTGTGTTTGAGAGAGAGTGGGGGGACAGATTGGAAAAGAAGGATGAGTGGAGGGGGGAGCAATATAGGTGGCGCTGGTGGCGGTGCTGGTGGCTCATTCAGCCGAGGGCTCAATAGTGAGCAGCGTGCCGTGCCTGGGCGCTGCAGTAGATCCACCACGTACTCCCTGTGTGTGGGAGGGGGAAGGAGGGTCCAAGGGGAGGAGCGCGCACAAGGCAGCACGAGGCATGATGCTGCTCTGCATCGTGCATGCCACAGAATTTGCAGCTCTCTTCTCATGCGACACGCAGAGCTTGCCCATGTCGCCAGGGCGAAATCCAAACTCACCTCCCGTGTAGAGAGGGTGTTTTTTAGTTGAGACGTCTCAAAAACACCCTCTCTACACGTAGAATTTGCAGCTCTCTTCTCATGCGACACGCAGAGCTTGCCCATTTCGCCAGGGCGAAATCCAAAACTGACCTCTCGTCACTTGCGAGCACGAGGCCTGAGGCTCCATCGTCCATGCCACAGAACTTCCCAACACTAGTAAGCACCGCACTGCACCTCCCAGCACTCACACAGAACTCTTTGCTCACCTCTCGTCACTGGCGAGCACGAGGCACGAGGCTCCATCGTCCATGCCACAGAACTTGCACCCCTTCTGGATGCGACATGGCATGCCCAACGCGTCTGCCAACACCTGAGAATGGGGGAATGGAGGGAAAAATAGAAGGGAAGGAGAAAAGGGGGGAGTAAGGGGAAGAAGGCAAAAGCATGTGTACTCGCCACATGACTTGCAGCCCTCCTGAGTGCGACATGGCATGCCCAAGGCGACATGGTTGCCTGCCTCCCTTCCTTGTCCCTCCACTCCACACACTCCACTCCACCAATCTCTCACCACTCTGCACTCCTCCCCACTGCTCTGGTCTCCTCTCACCGCTCTGCACCCCTCCCCACCGCACGGCACGCACCTTGAAGAGCAGGGCGCGGTGGCGGCAGATCCCCACGGGCAGCTGCCCGATGGGCAGCACAATGGTCTTGAGGTAGCTCTTGATCTCCCACCCCCGCTGCCTGAACCGTGGAATCAACTCGTTGGGCTCCGAATTGACCGCACCCCTGGGGTGTGGGCGGGTGGAGGAGGGGGGGAAAGGGGGAGGGAGAGGGGGAGGCGGGGTTGGGTGGGAAAAATCGTGGGGGACGAAGTCGGGACAGGAGAGGATATTTGGATCAATGCCCCTCTGAAGCATGGGGAAAAACAAAGGAGCCGAGGGAACAGCTCCTTAGGCTCTGAAGTGACCGCGCCTCAGGCAGGAAGCCGAGGGATTCGTACGGGACGCCGAGGGAGCCGTCACAGTCAGGCGCTTACGCAGGCAGGAAGGCAGCAGGCCACTCACTCACTCACTCACTCCCTCCCTGACTCACGCACTCACTCACTCACTTAGCCCATATGATGCCACCACCTGCACGCCCAGCGAGAGTCTGCACATCAGTGGTGGCATATGCCAGGTTCGCCGCCTCGTCCTCCAAATCCTTGAGCTCTCAGCGTGTGTGTGTGGGTGGGTGGGCGTGTATGGGGTACCACCAGGCAGACAGACAGCAGGCCACTCACTCAATCACCCACTCACCCCATGTGATGCGCCACCAGTACACCCAGCTTCTGGGCGAGCGTCTGCACCTCAGTAGCAGCATACGCCAGGTTCACCGCTTCATCTTCCCAAGTCCTTAGCTCTCAGTGTGTGTGCAAGTGCAAGTACCCACCCCATATGATGCGCCACCAGCACGCCCAGCTTGAGCCAGAGTCTGCACCTCAGTGGCAGCATACGCCAAATTCACCGCTTCATCCTCCAAGTCCTTGAGCTCCGCATCAATCGTACGGTTGATGAGCGCCACGTCGAACGACGCCTCACTCGGGTGCAGCGCTCGCAGGGAGTCGAGGGGAAGCTGGCGGCAGGCCACTCACTCACTCACTCACTCACTCACTCACTCCCCTCTGTCACACACACCCTCACTCACCCCATATGATGAGCGACCAAGACTCCAAGCTTCTGCGCGAGCGTCTGCACCTCAGTAGCAGCGTACGCCAGGTTCACCGCCTCGTCCTCCAAGTCCTTCAGCTCCGCATCGATGGTGCGGTTGATGAGCGCCACGTCAAACGACGCCTCGCTTGGGTGCAGCGCTCGCAGGGAGTCCAGAGGAGGCATGCGGCCGCGGTGGGAGGAGTCCACACAGAGCGAGTAGACGTACGGCTGCATGCCCCAGATGTCATAAAATCCATCCTCTATACGATCTTCATAGCTGAGGCACCCGTTCACCTGTGTATGGGGAACAGTGGGGAGGGAAATGGATCAAAATATATTGCGTGCTGTGCTTTGGGCTGTATCAATCAGGGACAGTATGGGGTGCAGCGCGCGCAAGGAGTCGAGGGGCGGCATGCGGCCGCGGTGGGAGGAGTCCACACAGAGCGAGTAGACGTACGGCTGCATGCCCCATATGTTGTAGAACCCGTCTTCGATACGGTCTTCATAACTGAGACACCCGTTCACCTGTACGTACGTGTGGGGACGTGTGAGTGAAGCATGGGGGAAGGGGGAGATAGGCTAGGGGGTCAGAGCGAGTACACCTACGGCTGCATGTCCCCGATGTCATAGAACCCGGCCTCTACAAAGTCCTCATAACTGAGACACCCGTTTACTGTGGGGCATGGGGACATGTCCGTGTGTGCGTGTGTGGGAAGGTGGAAAGATGGGGGAGGAAGAAAGCAGGCCTCGTTTTGGTCTCATTACCTTTGACTCTGAGTCCTGACAGATGCCCTTGTAGCTCAGGCATCCAATACCTCTTCTAATCAAGTCAATCATCTCACCCAGAAGCGGTAGGCCGTGGCTTCAGCCTGGCTACGAGGCATGAGCGGACTGGCCCAGAGCATGTCATTGGGGTTCGCCTGGGGCGGCGCCATCTCCGTCTCCTCCGCCATCTCCGCGTCCTCTATCAGCCGCAGCGCCACCGCCACCTGTGTTCGGGTGGTTCATGCATGGAAAGGAAATATTATGGTGTAGTCAGGTAAGGTTCGGTAGTTCATGCATGTCCTCCGTCTCCTCCGCCATCTCCGCATCCTCTATCAGCCGCAGCGCCACAGCCACCTGCTCTCAGGTCGTGCAATGACCATGCACGAAAAAAAGCACACACGAAGGTTGATGGACGGATGGAAAGCGTAAAGCGGACGCTGAGAGAATGTACATACGAAAAGTAAAGACAAGGCCCGTCTACTAGTACAGAATTGTAGCGTATTATTGGCAATACAATACACCTCTGTAACGAGTTCGTACCTGCTAGTGGTACACCACATCTTTGTAACGAGTCCGCACCTGTAACGAGTACATCTCCTCGGCCTTTTGGAAGTAGCTCCTGTCGCTCTGCTTCCTCCGCGCGTGCGCCGCCTGTAGCGCCGCCACCACAGGACCCCCACCCGCCACGTCATCATTATCCAACGTCAGCATCTCACTCGCCACGCTCCTCCCCCCGGGACTCTCCGCGGAGACAGGAAACCCCCCGCCCCCGCGCTCCGCCCCTGCGCCTCCCCCCAGGCGGGGCGCGGGGCTTCCCCCCCACGGCATCACCTGCGCGCTCGCCTCCCCGTCCGAACTGCTTGCGAAGCTCATAGCTCCGTGCGACGGCGGACGGCGGATGGACACGGGCGGAGACGGCCCGTCCCTGGAAAACCCTCCCCCGGGTCCGCCCGGCGTGCCTGCCGCGGCTATAGCCGCAGCGGCAGCGGCGGCGGCGGCGGCGGCGGCTTCCGCCTCCGCGTTCGACACTACCGACGATAAGCTGGTTCGCTTCTCGGGCCCGGCCATGCGCGACTCGCCGACGCCGCCGCCAAGATTGCTGCTACGGTCGATACCGTTGCGTTCCTCGGGCTTTAACTGGCCCGGACTCGGCTGGCCCGAAAACCGGATAGAGTTGAAAATGGCCAGCCGGTTCGCTTCCGCCGCCGCCTTTGCCGCTGTGACCTCGGGATCCTCCCCAGAAGGTTCCGCGTCTTTCGCGCTCTGCTGCCGCGCGGCGATCATTTCGGATATTGCGCTTCCGCCGCCGCTCCCGCCTTTCTCCGCTTTCCGAGCCGCGATCATGTCCGCGAACGTGCCACGTGGCCCTCCTTTCTCCGGCGTCGGCAGCCGCTTCTCCACACCTGGAGCTTTACCCGGAAACATCGGCGCGGGAGCGGGAGACGAGTCGACTACTTCCGAACCTCCCGCATTCTCGTTCGGTATCCGGACGTGCAGCGGAGAGGTCCCGCGGGAGCGTGGAGCAGGCCGTTCCTTCTCCCGCGCTTTTTCTCGCTCTCGAGCTAGTCTGTTTCGGCTGAGAGACGAAGGGCCGTTCTTGGACTTTTCTGCTGGAGGGCTGTCTTGCATTGAGGCTGCTAAGGCCGGGTCTTCGGCCATCATCTCAGCCGCCATGGCTTGGAGCATAGCTAAATCCATGGCTGCCGTTAACTTTATGAGAAATTAAGACTGGTATAAGTAGGTTTTGATGCTTAGTAGCTTTCCCTGGTCGAATGCCTGGAAGCGGTATATATCCAGTTAGTGTCTGTTAGTGCCAGCTAATGCGAGCTATCGCTTGGGAATGTGCTCAGCAGCAATGGGCTGGACGTGCGTGAAGGCGACATTACGTGCTAAGGCAGTCGCGACGGAAAGTAACCTTGCTAGGCCATGCTTGGTAATGGAGAAGGCGGTTTGCGCTGGCGACACGGCCAACCAACAGAATAAGATACATTCAAGTGATACAAGTTCAGACACGAAAGCAGCAGTGACTAACAAAATAAACCGTCACCGTCGATACGACGCGACGCTCCGAAAAGCCAACAAGTATTCTCAGCGGGACACGCCAATGCTGTAGGACCAGGTCATTACTGACAACAATAAGGAACCCTACTGTCCTAGAAAATACTTCAGATTATTAGGGAGAGTACGGCAGGTTAGTAAGCGTGCCGTGCTTGCCACTTCTGGCGGGAAGCAGGTTTGGTTGGGTGAGGCGACCGACCTTGGGATTGGTTTGGCGAAAGTCAGTCAACTTAGCGAAACTGTTTTCGGGATGGGCTTTGGCGAAGCCTGAAACTGTAAACGAAAGTCCCCAGACAATGGTTTTGTGCTCGATACAAGCTGCTGTGATACAGATTCAGAGCAGAAAATTGTTGGAGATAGTGGTATAATCTACTATTATTGACCCTTCTTTGCACCAACAGTTATTCTACGATGTGAAGGACATCTACAGTGCGATTTACAGTGAATCCTATCCGCCATGGCTCATGTAATGAACTTATTTCCATCATTGTCAACCTTTAATACATAAAGGTACACTCCTATTGAGACGTGTCTTCAGTGTTGAGATAATATGAAGACTTGAGCACTTCAAGGATTCGTGTAGTACAGTGCGAGACTTCGCACGTAACAGTGAAGTACCGATAGGCTGACGTCAGCAAAGCGCTACGCGCCCTAGGATGACGTCAGCACGTAGCTATAGGCCTCGCAAATAGTCACGTACCGTTTCAGAACACGAATAGCATGAATAGCACAGTACAGTATGCGAATAGGTACTTTACTCTAGCTATATATTCTGTGTGTTTGTCATTTATAATATATCTGATTTCAGAGACATTGATCCTGAAACATATCACTACATGGGCTTTCACTAGTCCAGACAAAGCCTCCTTAACTGGCTTTAATTCATACAAGACTTCCGCTACGACAGGAAGCTACCATCCTAAGTAGTACGATCCTATTCAGTCATTTCAAATTCTAACATTCAGTACTTCTCGTCAGAAGCGTTACTTGTGACTCACCGCATCATCTGTGTTGAAGTAACTCGATGATCAATGATGGGATAGCGACATATAAATTATTATACAAATGTACAAGCCAGGGTCTGGAATACCGATACAATTTATTCAAGTGAATGTCTTCGGATTATCGACCTTTTATTTCATTTGACGACAGCAGTCAAAAGTTGAAGCAACATAGACATAAGTGCTCTGAAAATTCAAGTGCCGAAACGTCCCTGGTGGCGAAGCTGTGTACTTGTCATGGCGGGTTTCCATGAAAAATACATACACGCATGGATCAGAGCAGGGCCTGTGCTAGGATTTAGGGCACCCTGAGCCCTCAGGGCAACTTTTGATAACTTTCTAAAATTCCCTATTTTTTCAGGGCAAAAGTCCCTGGCTATCCTGAAATTTCATGGCACAAGCAGAAATTCGTATGGATGTTTCAGGGTAAAAATAGCAGGAGGGGAAGGCACGAAAGGAGCAGGTTGTCCAGTGGTTTCACTACAACTAGCTGCGCAAAAACTTTGGAGGGAGAGGGGCGGGGACAAAACTAGCACACACCCCCCCCAGCCTCCTTCCTCCCCTCTCCCCCTCTCCCCCCCTCCACCCCTTCTTCCCCTTCCCACGAGTCAGGGCATCCCTCTACATTCACCCTAACGCTTCAGGGCAAAATTTCACTGCCATTATGAAATTCCAGGGCAAAACACGTGAATCATCCTGACGCCACAGGGTGAATTTCAGCGTCATTCTGAAATTCCAGGGCAAACTTAAAACACCATCCTGAAATCAGGGTAATCAGGATGTTTTGCCCTGATATTGTGGGCCCTGGATCAGAGTTGTGTCCCATAGAGACAAGAATTTTGCATTTGCACATCGCGAAGAACTACCTCGTTTTTGCGTTGTTATTGAAATAGCTGCAGGAAGAATATTTTATAGGATGGCTATTGGCGATAGGATGGCAGAGGAGATAGAAGTAGGTGGGACTGGCCTGGCAGATTCTACAGCTGAAAAACCTCAATAAGTTTTCACATTGTTTGATTATACTGATCTATGGAGTCGTGTTATTGGGTCAACATGCAAGAGGCGCGGTTGAAGCCACTCTCAAATTGCAATAGTTGCTGCACTCGAGCCTCGCCATGCTCGGCAAGGCAACGCTATTTCGGCAAGAATCAACAATGTCAGAACATTATAGCTTTTACATTTGTGTAGGCTATAGTCGGGTCGTCCATAAGGGGTACAACCCAATTAGGGTTAGTACTTGTAACCAACTGTTTCATAGTTCATTCATTCTCGTTCATTACTTTCAACATGGTTTCAGAGCAGGTCCCTCGCTAGGACCGCCTTTCTTTCCTTGGGCCCACCACCTGCTGCCCTGCGAGTAGCCCCTTGGCCCCGGCCCCTTGGCCCGTCGCGCCCCTAGGCCCGTCGCGCCCCAAGGCCCGTCACGCCCCTTAGGCCCGTCGCGCCCCCACGGCCCCGTTTTCCCTAGACCCGTCGCGCTTCACGGCCCCGTTTCCTAGGCCCGTCGCGCCCCTCGGCCCCTTCGCCCCTAGGCCCCGGCCCCTTGGCCCGTCGCGCCCCTAGGCCAGTCACGCCCCTAGGCCCGTCACGCCCCTTAGGCCCGTCGCGCCCCCCACGGCCCCGTTTCCTAGGCCCGTCGCTCCCCTCGGCCCCTTCGCCCCTAGGCCAGTCGCGCCCCTAGGCCCGTCGCGCCCCTATGCCCGTCGTGCCCCACGGCCAATCGCGCCCCACGGCCCCGTTCCTGCCCGTCGCGCCCCTAAGCCCGTTGCGCCCCAGGGCCCCGTTCTCTGCCCGTCGTGCCCCTAGGCCTCGGTCCCGGCCCTTCGCGCTTCTAGGCCCGTCGCGCCCCCCCCTCAGGCCCCGGTTCCTGCCCGTCGCGCCCCTAGGCCCGTCACGCCCCTAGGCCCCTCGACCCGCGCCCCGTGACCCGCGACCCAGGCCCCTCGGCCCCTAGGCACCTCGGCCCCCAGGCCCCTCGGCCCCTAGCCTCGGCCCCTCGGACCCTAGCCTCGGCCCCTCGGCCCCCACTCTTCGTGTTTGGCCCCTCGGCCCCTAGGCCCTTCGCCCCCTTCTGCTACTGCGGCTACTACTACTGCTGCTACTGCTGCTCCTTCATACTGTGCCACTATGGCCTCGCTTCGAGTTCTCGCTTCGAGTTCATCATGAGGGTAGACCGGTTCAGTTTGACACGTGGCTCGACGACCTGTAGCTGTACCTACGGAGCGATATTAAGGACGGTGTTTACCTGTTTGACCACGTGTCCGGTGCCGCTACTGCCCCTCCCACAACAGCTGACAGTGCGACTCGCTCACAGTGGCTTTCTCGCGACGCTGCTGCCCGCTTAGCCATTCGCAACCACTTGCCGTTAGATGAATGCGCTCACTTCAGACAGCACAAGACCGCACAGGCACTGTACGACGCTGTAGTTGCTCACTACTCCTCCCCTGCCACTACTGCTCTAGGCCGCCTCCTTCTGCCCTACCTGTTCCCCGAGCTATCCGCCTTTGCCACAGTCGAGGACCTGGTTTCCCACCTTCGCGCTAGCGACGCTCGCTACCGCGCTGCCGTCCCTGCTGAGTTCCTTGACAAGAATCAGCCCCCGATGTTCATCACCCTCTACTTCATAGTCACTCGCCTCCCTGACTCTCTTCGCTCTGTCAGGTACCACTTCCTCTCTCTTGACCCCACCTCCCTCACTGTTCACCTCCTCGAGCAGCATCTCCTTGCAGCTGAGACTAGTGCAGTTGCTGTAGGTGCTGCTCGTGGCACTCCGCGCCTGCCCTTCTTTGAGGGGTGCTCCCCCTCCCCCCTTGCCCCCTCCTACGCCTCTGCTGCTGCTGCAGACGTCTCTGTTGCTGAGGACATCGGGGCTGCTTCTGCTATTGCGAAGCGCCGCAGCGGCAAGGGCAAGGGTGGCAAGGGTGGTGGAGGTGGCAGCGGCGGTAGTGGAGGTGGCAGTAGGAGTAGTGGTGGGGGCAGCAGTGGAGGTGGTGGCGGCGGCAGGACTGGTGGAGGGAGTGGGGGCTCTGGTGGCGGCGGTGGAGGCATCAGTGGGAGTGGCGGCGGTGGCGGTAGTGGGACTGGTGGCGGTGGGACTGGAGCTCGGCGTGTTGGTTCTGGGGGTGGTCAGCGTCAGCAGCAGCAGCGTCAGAGCGAGACCCAGTCGCCCCAGCAGCTTCGTGAGTGGTTTTTGCGTGGGGCGTCTGGGGGTAGTTGCCCGTATGTCATTCGCACGGGTGACCGTGCTGGTCAGACTTGCGGGCGGCTTCACACTCAGCACCGCTGCTTCTCCCGCCTTGACGACGCTTGGTGTGCTGAGTTTGGTGACAACGTTGAGCTCCCTCGCTGGGCAGCCTCTGCTTGTTT